TAACATGGGTAAACTCCTATTTTAAAATTGGACAGAAAATGTCATCTCAGCGTTTTATGATGGACAATAAGCATATCAGTTATACTTTCATGTATTTAGAGTCTCTCTAAGACTGGCCTTACCTTGAGTGAACATGCTGAATGCTAATAAATGAATCTCAAATTTATTACAGTGATTTTTTTTACCTTAAATATATAAATAGAGGCAATCAAAGAGAAAAGAATGATATGATTGTAAATTAAATGTTTTGAATACATTGCTAAATACATCAGATATTTTTTATCTTATGTAATTTTATATTTTTCATAGCTTCTTCTTAGCAAAACTGCTACATTGTCAGATGTCAACAATTATTATTAAGTCTAATGTTAAACAATGGTAAACAAACAGATAATTTATCATGTACAACATGTACAATATGATCCCAAAGACTTCATGTTCTACATGATAAATTATAAATACTAGTTTTAGTATACAACTGGGTAATTACCGCCGTAATACGTAGGTAAATACAGCTGAAATACTGTAACACAGCGGTTCCCAACCTTTTGAAGCCACAACACATATTTCACATTAGAAAAATCACCAAACAAAAATGTCACGAAAAGCATTTTGATCATTTTTCCCCAGGCACCAAGTATAGCGGCATTGGCTCGGTTTGTCCCCAGTATACCTTTTTTTGCTTTCTTCTAAGCACTAATCATGCTAGGGCCTTAATCTGGGTCCGATTGACTACTTTTTCTTTTTAAATATTTACCTATTGCTATTACGCGCAGCGTGGTCTCACAGCATGTAATTTCTTCTGCCCATTACTAATCAGGCGGAACCAGATAATCTTCCACGGCACACCTGAACATTTCTCGCGGCACAGGTTGGGAAACACTGCTATAACACACCAACTCAACAACTCCCGCTAGAGTTGTGTCAGGTTTATAAATCAGATATTATAGAAATATTGCATAATTCTTGGGAAAATTAGGATTCCTACAACACTCAGTATTTATAGCAATATACCAACTTGTGAGTGGTGTTGATTTTAATTATTGCATATTTAACGCTAACCTCTTGCTAACATATTTATGGGAAGCCCAAGCAACTCTGTATGAATGATGTCAGTGAAAACATAAATGTCAAGCAGCAGTCACAAGTATTATACATAATACTTGTATACTGAGTTATACGCTGATTAGATAAGGCTCATTCTGACAGTGAACGATAAATAAGAGCTTTAATATAGCATGTGTAACATTTATTAATTTGCATTTTATTAATGTTCAATGTGATTAAATGTTGTATGTTTGACTAGTTTTGATCCAAAAACTGATTGTAATCATTTCCTTTATCGTATTTTGTAATTTTCCTTTTGAAGGCAGTACCCATTACAAAACCTCTACATCTAAAAAAAAATAAAATATAAAAACAAGCTGTTCATTCAGGCTTTAAAAACACATCAAACACCTTGAGTAAATCCACAGAGAGTTCCATTTCTATTTGCAATTGAATGACTTCAGTGGCTTGAGTGTTTGGCGTCTTATTGCCTGGGCATGGAATTATGTGATAGCGACAAGAGAATTGAAAGAGCGTGAGAGTTATTGAGACAGTGTTACTGCTCTTCAAGTACCAAGTGGGAAACACTTTGAGACAGCATGACACACCACAACACACAAACGCACATACAAATGCGCCCCCCCGCTGTCACAGGAAAACAGATCTTAAACTGGAGCGCATACAATAATGTGTGCCAACTGTGATATATGAATGCAAAAAACAAAAGCAGGCGCGCAAATGCTTCACGTATGCCCAAATATAAAAAACACATGCTTTGGTAGGTAATTTTTTCCCCCCATAACCTCATTTGCAATGCAAAGCAAGTGTGTGCATGAAATATAGATACGCGCACCCTGTCATACATATCTGAAATGCAATATCACATTAAGTACAATGTGCTCCTTAATAGATAAGAGAAAGCGAGAGCTAAAGAAAGCACAAGAAAATTGTATAAAGCATGCACAGTTAAGATAGTTTTGTAAATAGAGAGGCCTGAGATTCAACAAGAGTGAGGCAGGCCTATTGGGGAAAAAGCCTAAACCGAACGCAGAATGAACAGGAAACGATAGCGGACAGAGCAGCATAATGTGGATGGAGAGAAGCATCATGGAAACACATAAACCAGAAATGTCATACCAACAAAGCAAACCATTTGACTTAACTGACAATGGTGGGGCATAAAAGGAAACAAAAAAAGCACACAGTAGAGGAGAGAGGGGGAAAAATCCAATAAGAAAAAAAACATGTGAAAGTGGAGAAAGAGAGTAGATAGGTTGAAAGTTTTTTTCCAATAACGCTTCTTTCACTGTTGGTAAAAATGGCCACTACTTCTTCAATAAGAGAGGCGAGCGAAGACGAGACCTGGAACATAATGATAACAAGCACTCACTCTTGTAGAACATACTAAGACTGGAAAAAAAGGAAAAGGAAATGACAACTTTAAAAAAAAAAGAAAAAGGAAAAAAATGAAGAAATGAGCTAAAAATGAAAGTACAACTGCTAAAGTGTGAAGCAGAAGGAAAAAGCTGTATATATTTTAAGTTAATGGACTTGAACTTCACTTGAGGCAGGAGTTCAGGGAGTGATTACTGCCATTAGGATGCAGGAAGGATGTGTGCGTCACTGCGCGCGGATGAGTGTGTGCGCGGAGAGCAACTTACTGGCGTGCTTGTGTGAGCGGGAATGTGAGAGCGTGCAATTCTAACCTTGAATGTCAACTGGGACACACTTATCCACTTCTTCTGCTGGCCTCTTTCCTTTTTTCTGGTCTTTTATTTCAACATTTTACCTCCCTTCTTCTACCTGCACTAAAACCCCTGAGAGCCAGGGTCCACTCAAAGAAAAGGTCAGAGCCATTTCTTCAGTTATTCTCTGCCAATCACCCCCCACCCCCACCCCCACTTTGCAGCCTCTTCTTTCACTTCTCAATCACATTTTCTGATCTCTTGTTTTTCTTGCCTTACTTGGAAAAAGAAGATGTTGTGTACACACAGAAACATGCTTAAAACTTCTTCACGAGCAATAGCTGGCACACAATGCATTGCTGGTTTAAACTAAAGCACAATTAAACTGCATTAGTATTCAGATGTGTAAAAGGATAATTACAGTCATTTTCCCAGTTTGTTCCATTTCTGATGGCTAATTATTATTTGGCATTTTTTTGTCACTCGCTGATCCCACTATTCTATCGTCATAACAAAATTAAGCTGTGCAGCAAAATAGTCTTCAAATCCATTAATTTATTTGTAATGAAAGATAAC